AAATGATCATACGCAGTACACACTGCAACATAATTAGAAGTTGCAATCATGAACCCAAAATGCAAGTTGTTTAAAAGTTCTGCAGCTTATCTATGCGATAGTCAGCTAGGAATGTGCATACAACTGCAGTTCCTAAGATCCTTAACATCCCAACCTTTTTTGAAGTAAACATGGTCTAACATTGCCCTCAAGATACCTCCTGCTGTATTGTTCCCTTCATTTTAAATATCTAGAAAAAGTAGGTAATTCATAGTTCAGTTTTATACATTAGATTCACTAAATTATTACCATCCAATTTAAAGGATGAAAATGCAACTCATAATATTAACACTGCAAACTTGATAAATAGGCATCTTAAAAAAATACCTCCGACTTTTTTGGGATGTTGATGAATCCAATGTCAGCTAACAATGTTCCAAATTGTATTCTCATGTCTCTGGCACAATAAGACATGTATTAGCCGTTGAAAAGCGATTCAAGGCCTAAAAAGATAGGTAACCGGGAAAAGGAGCATAATTCTCGCAGCTCAGTGTCTTATTATGGAAGAGCTAAACTTTGCAAACCACAAGCATATATCCTGTTTTAGAGTTTGTTGCATATTGTCTTCCGCGGATTTTTTCAAGGATCATTACAAGTTTAACATGCTGATTGGTGCCAATGATTATTATGATAAATGGTGATGGTGAAAGCAGTTGTGGCCAGCTACATAAAAAATAATACGGATAGGTAGTGAATGCTGATGGTGGTAAAGACTATTCCGATTTAATAAGTGCTCTTTGCTGGGGGGGGGGAGGTTTTGCTTTCCCCCTCTTGTCCTATGCATTCTCTCATAACGCGTTAACCTCATCTTATATATGCACTTTATTATTACCAGTTTTCATTTCAGAAAATTAACGATCGGAATTAGGATCAGGTACTGGCTTCCTTTCAAGTATAAAAAATGTGGAAAATGACAACCATAATTCCATTAGTTGATCCTTTCTAGAGCCCCAAGGCACAAAACATCGCCATCACTTTTGAATTACAAGAAAACTGAGCTACATGATACTTCTTTCTAAACTAGCCAGGCATTCCATAGTAGTAAATAGTATCCCCAAGGGCTACAGGACATTCTTTCATTGTTAGATAATCTTTAAAAATTGTTGTTATCTGTTAAAATTCACTGCATAAAGAGGAATGAATCAATAACGAGGGATGTCCTTAGTATGGCATAAAAATCATACCTTATCATATACATGACAGAACTGCTTAAGAAATATGAGCTGCAAAACTGCTTTGCTGCTTTGACTCCATTCTGCCAGAATGAAAATGAACTGCATCAGTAGCATGGCTCAAAGAATGACAATGCATAAATTAAATGTCCAGAAATAACTTTTTACGAGTAAAAAGTGTGTAAAAAGTGTTGAAATACATTTAAGTATTCTTTCAGTAGACTGAAAGTTTTCTGATGGAATGATTGCCTATCTAATCCACTAGGTCTCTATTAATTCTTATTCGACTAACAATCAACAATGCCGTCCAACTGGGCTGTTAATATGTGATAAAGAATCAGTTATTTCATAAGCCGTTGCAAGTTAGTAGATCACTAACCTCCCGCAAAATTTTCTCCCACTTTTTATACGCTACCATCATTAGGAGATGGTCAGATTGCCAGTTACCACTGCCAGAGTCAGTTTCACCACCAAGCTTATCACTCAAAAGTGCCAACTTTGCTCTTTCATTTTGCCTCTGCGATACGCATGTCATAACATAATTAAATTCCATATGGACATCAACAAAGCTTTTAAGAGCTGAGGATACAAACCTCATCTTTTGGATAAACAAATGGAGACTTGTAGCTGAGGAAGGCTGAAATAGATAGAATTGGCGACAAGCAGCCAAATACTCCACCATATAACAGCATCTACAGTTCCACATTTGCAAAATTATTTAAAAGACAGTAATGTTCAACAAAGCCCAAATAGCCAGACAATTGATGCACCCATGGAATTTTTGTTTATATTGAAAATTGAGTGTCACTTGTAGAGAATCATATTTTTGGTAAATTCTCTACTTTTCAGTATACTGCTTCTATACAGGAGATTTCTCATAACTTTTCTTTAAAAGAAATCATCAACAAAATTATTTACCTTTCCACAAAAAAAGTTTGTGAATTAGAGTTGTAATGGGAAATATACAAGATGTTGAAGAATGAGGATAATTACATAAATACCTTTCCAACCAACACATCAACAGGAAGTCTCGCCAAATGATACCCGAGAGGAGTTAACTCTTCATCCCCTTCAACGGCACCAACCTGGACATAAATTGAACTATGAGATCATCACCACATAGCACAGAACTGTGCAGTTCAACTGGCATTCATGCACAAACAATATGGCAAATTTAGCACATTTACATGGAAACACAGGAAAGTATCTTTTATATGCATAAGAAGAAAGAACGTGGATGAAACATTATTTAGGAAACAAATTTCTAATGTAAGTGCAGTACAAGTAACAAACCAAGCTATGCAAGACTGTACCATCTTGCATGAACATTATAAATGATACCATAGAAAATGGAACCACCCAAAGACATGACAAATCTTTACTTCAATACAAATGAAGTGTAGTAGAAACTTATATAAAAGTACATTTTGACATTAGATGAAACAAAAGCAGATGTCTCATATACTCCCATCCCATTTTATATGACGATATTTGATCAGATAAAGCGTTAACATGCTAGTATGAGCATATACATTATAATGGTGATAGTAGAAAAAAAATATCAAATACTAGTTATAAAGTTAGGTTGATAGAGAAAACATCACATTGAAGTTTCAAAAGTGAGTAGTTTCATGAATTTGAATCTTGAAAGTTGAGAATGTTGTATAAAAATGGGATAGTTGTCAAACATTTAGGACGTTCCAATAATAGAAAAAGTGTCATGTGAACTGAGACAGAGGGATAAATATATAAGGTAACTAGACGCTCTCAATGAAAGAGACCAAAGAGAAAGCTCCAGGAAGAGTGTAAAAACCACAACACTAGAAAAGAAATATTTTATGTAAATAGATCTCCCATGTGCAAACTTCATTGTTTAAATAACTATCTTCCGTGTGAAGGATTTAAACTTCTTCTTAGGCTCTCTTATTAAAAATATTCTATTTGATAAACATTGTTTATTAATTGTTCTTCCGGGGAGAGTAAATCAACTTCCATATCCTGCTGTTCACTGATGATGTCATCATTATAGCACCTATGACCTATGTTGATGCTAAGAAACCAAAAGAAATCTACATGGGGTATACCTCATACAATAAAGAAATTGCTGACGCAATAGCCTCATCCTTTGGAGGTTCAAGGGCCTAACAAGACGAAGTTTGGGAAGAAAAATGAGTTAGAAAATCCATAGAACAAAATGCATAAAATTGTATCTGAATAAAATTTAAAAAAATTATAAAATCACCATAGACAAAAATAGCTTTATGCTTCCAAGTGATAGCAGTTTGATTTGTAAGCACAATTCTACCAAAGGCATTCGCAGCATCTCCGGGATCTAGCAAGGCCAAACTAAACATCAGCACAATGTAAGAGAGAAGATTATCTGAAACGAAGAACAGCAGTACTAGATATAGTAACGAGGAAAACCCACTAATACCCCATACCTGGTAAGGTCGCATGAGCTTCTCATATCGGTAAGAAGTATAGAGACAAAAGCAGATTCCTGGCTTTACACGTCCAGCTCTGCCTCGACGTTGCCTTGCATTTGCTTGAGATATCCAATCTTCAACCATGCTTGACAATTTCTAAAATGAAGAAGTTTAAACAATAGCGAATGTGATTACTGGTGCACCAGATTCTGGAGACAAAAAGCAAAGGAAATTGACATTTCTTTAGACGAAACACACAAAACAGAGGTCCCGACAAGTAAATCATGTCACTTAGAAATTCAGCAATAAAGCTCATGACTGGATCTAGAAAAGCCTAACAGGCTGGTTATCCTTATCTCATGCTAAAGGACTAGGGCCTCTCGCTTTATTCAAAGATTGAAAGCCCAATTTAGAAAACAAGATGATATACAAGAGTAATCATGCCTTTAACCTCATCACCAAGCAAAAAATACAATGTTGTCCTCTCTCTGGTTTTGATGTTGTCGAAACCACTTCATCAGCTAAACCAGTTAGCCAAAGAAATACATCTATTTGAGCTTTTATTTATGTGAGAAGGCACGGGACAAAATATGTTATTGATATTGGATAAACAATACAATACAAGAGGTCCTTATTTATAGTTATACTATACAAGGACATACTACTCCTCTACCAATGTGGGACAATACTACACTATATACATGTTGTAAACTAACACTCCCCCTCAAGCCG